TCTATATATATATATATATAAAAACATCAGTGATAAGTCCTTCTTATAGCTGTAGTGTGCAAACTCCAGGTGACTGTGAAACACACTGCACTCACCAGGCTTCCATATTCAAAGAGGCATAACAATCCCGGATCGCAATCACAGTGAACGTTTGCTCCTCCAATAATAAAAGTGGCTACCATTGAAATTGCTATGGGTCCAGACTTCCTGTCACATGGACATAGACTTCCTGTCACATATGACAGTTTCCTGTTTGAGAGAGATATAAGGAAAGTAACTAGTAACCTCAGTACGTCTGCACTTTCTTGAAAAAGTATTTGTACGAAACGCGTTGAAAGAAGTGGACACGCACTGAGGTTGGGACACGCTAATTTGGAAGGATTTTAATTGTGTGATTATTCGACTGGCCTGTTCACGACGGATTGGAATATTTTTGGAAAAAGCAATTGTTTTCGGGAAATCTTGTAAGTGTTTTTTTTTTAAAAAACTTTTTTGGCATATTACACTATGTGTTTATTATCCTCTCTTGGGAACGGATACGTTTTTTAAACGACCACACCTGAACCGGAAGCTTTTTTGTGAAAGAGCACAGAGGGGAGGAGGAAGTTTCTATTGCGAGTGGAGGAGCAAACGTTCACTGTGATTGCGATCCGGGATTGTTATGCCTCTTTGAATATGGAAGTCTGGTGTTTTTCACAGTCACTTGGAGTTTGCACACTACAGCTATAAGAAGGACTTATCACTGATGTTTTAATATATATATATAGATATATATATATAAATATATATATATATATATCTTGGCACTTTGTCACTTTTTATTTTTTTTGTGCATTTTTTTGCATCAATTTGATGGTGGACTTTTAAAGGAGAACTACGGGGTTAAGGCCTTTCCCCATAGTTCTCCTTAGGGTAACGGGAGGACACAAACTAGCGTCCTCCCGTCACCCTAGGCTCAGTATACCGCGAGCTATACTGAGACGCCGCAGCTGAAGCGCATCCCGACAATTGTGCCGGTATCCGCCCAGCTGCGTGACTGACAGCTGGCTCTTCCTATGTAGAGGCAGAACCAGCTGTACCAGCCCCTCCCCCGTCCGTTCCGCCAGCCAGCGCTGGCGGAGCGGGGAGGGGGGAATCCAGCCCCTCCACTGTCACGGCAGAGAGCCGTGACAGGATCGAGAGGTGAGCGAACGCCGGTATGTGTTCGCTCACCTCCCGATACTGAGCCGACCTGTGACAGTCTCATTGTCACAGGTCAGCTAGAACTATGAGGTGAGTGAAAAGCACTCACCTCATAGTTCTCCTTCAATTACCAATTTGCACTTAATCTCTACTGGACATATTACAATGAGAAACACTTTTTACTATGTATGAGTATTCATTTATTAATTATATTGGTTATATGTGATCTATTTGATATTTAGCACTATATCATTCACTTCTTAAGATTATTGATTAGCGCAGTGCATTTGTTTGATCTATCTATTTATATTATTAGCACGGCAGCTTTTCATCTTTTATATTTATCACTTTGAGACAGCTTCCATAGCGCAGAATTTTTTTTTTTTTTATATTCAAAATTTTAGATTTAACTTCACTTTCATTCCAAGTGACATTGGTGTCCCATAAAAGGGACACAAATGGCGATAAAAGCCCTGACAGTGATTCTAAACCTTACCACTCTATCCAAAAATATAAAAAAATGTTGCCATTAGTTATTTCTTTTTAAAGGTATGTTAGTTATACTTTAAGTGCTCATGCAGCCTAAAGTGGACCTTTACTTCCTTTGACTAAAAATCACAACAGCATACAGCTCTGCATACTGATATGAAATCATCTTCCATTCATTAGTTAAACAAACATATTTTTATTTTACTTACAATTTCTTTTTTTCACTTCCTGGTGCACATTGGCACCAATGATGTGCCCAAGCATTGCATTCTGGGAAGGTTATGTAGCGCTCACCCCCGAAGGAGCCGCTGGATGATCG